AACATCAGTCTGTGCGTGAACTTCCTTACCCTTTCACTCCTATGGAAATCCCATAAGAAACTTTCAATCTTTCCATGAAGAGACGGCGGCTTGCTGGTACCATGGTGCAATGAAGAGCTAAGACAAAGTCCGCAAGATTTCATGCACAGATTGTCAGATGCTTATGGGATTTTACCATTGGAGTAAAGAGTTGCAGAGTCACCGTCAACATCAATACTTACTGAGCATGCAAGCATGCACTGAGGCAAATAAATTTAAGAATTTCATAAGGCTCGACTTATGAACGAGACATATGAATTTCATTAGCGTGACTTATGAATGAATTTCGTCTAAGGTGAGGTAGCTCTTATACGCCCATAACCATCTTATTTTCCCAAGCGTTGAAAGATGAGTGGTCAACACACAGGCCTCGTAATATCAAGGTCGTTGGTTCGGTTCTAGTCTGCTGCATTTTATAATTTTTTTTGTGAACATTATTTTTCATAAGGCAAATCAGTGAAATTCATACTAATTTCTTGTCCCTAAAACTAATAAGTGGATCTTATGGAATTCTTACGTCCATTTGCCACAGTGTGTATATCTAATTTTCTTCCATAAGGGCCAATGCCACAAACGCAATCAATTACTTTTTCCGCGAATTTCGCGAGAGTAAAAACTCGCTCGAGTAAACCACCACGATGATTGTGTAACGCTCAGTGTCGATATCACGCAAACTTTATTTTGACAGATCGATGTCCAACTATGCCAGTTATACCACTGAGGCAACACAAAAAAGGAGTCAACTTTTAGTCAGCTATTTTGCATGAAGTTCCACATATGTTATGTGCTCAGAATTAGCGCTCGCGAGTCGTTACGCGACCGAGGAAAGGGCAAAACTTGGCAATGTGCTTCATATTCGTAATTTAACGAAAAATAGTTCACTGAGAATTCATGCAACGAAAACAAACAAGCTCGTAGCGTAGACAACGATAAAGTCACGCACAAAGCTAGAACATTTTGCTCCGCGGCAAGTGTTGGCAGTTTTTGAAAACAAAACAAATCACGTTGCCAAATCTTCTGATTATACTTCCGCAAATCTGTTTACATTTAATTACTAGAGAGAAAGAGATATTATGAAAGGGACGTCATTTCCAAACACTGCCAAGGGCGCAGTAAACCATCACTACGCCACTGATCAGCACTAGATATCATCTGCCCCTAATCCAACTTTCCAGTTCTACCAGGTTCTTCCAACGGTGGAACTGACAACTTATAAATTTTCCCCAGTTTGCGACAGTACGAAGCAACTTGGATTTAGATACAAACATTCGGAGTATTTCGCATCACCGCCACACCAGTGGTCACCACGCCACTTTAAAGTGATACGATACGTCACGCTTTTTTTGCTTTTTTTTCTCTCTCGTTTCTATGTGTCAGTGAAATGATTATCATTGATGCTGTAGGAGTGTGGGTGTACATCATACACTGTCGCAACTACCGTAAACATAGCTGCTAGAGTTCGTTATTAATAAGTCGAATGTCTATTTATCATCCATTATTGACACCATTACTACATTTCTATTCAATCTGCCAAAATTAACGATCTATCACCTCCCAAGGACATCCTTTTCTATACAGAAAAATATCATACGCCTAGCCACCAAGGCCAACCAAGTCAAGTAATCATAGTAGTTTATTAATTCAATGCCACACTTTGTACACTTTGGTTACACACGACCGGTCCAAAAATGATTCCAGCACTCAAATCTCCAGGCACATGGTAAGAAAAAAGTACCCAAAAGTAAGTTATTTTCACACATCTCGCCACTTTATTACAGGAAGCCAAAAGTAGGTAAAGTGAGTCAAAGTAGTTTTCATTCACTTGCGTTCAAATCTTATGGAATTGAAAATTCGCTTTCTACTCAAAAGTAAGTCAGTTATACCCAAGAGTAGGTGAATATGTAAAAGTAAAAAGTAGGTAAATGTGAACTGGCCGCTAGGTACGTTTTTTCTTATCGTGTATGTTTATATTTTTGCATCATTCTTTTCCCGCCTTTTTAATATCACCTGATGGCTTCGACCAGTGTAACAAGAATGACAAATAGGTTCTCTACAGAAGATTTGTAGGCTTATTTACTTCCATTTCTTTTCTGAAAAAAAAAACAAATAAGATATTGTTTTAATATTTATTAGTGATGGTTTCTAAATTGAACACAGTTGAAGAACCTTCAAAAGCAATAAAAACGTTGTTTTTCAACACTTTGTTTCAATTGAATTGACAACACTGGATACGATGATAGATGATTTGTACACACACCTTCGTAATGTGGTTTGTAGAAAAAAGGTAAACAAAACAATTTCAGCTTACAAAATTATTCGCGGCTCGCGTTTTTAACGATACAAATGATATTATTTAAGTAAATATCATCTTTAAAAGTGAATTAAATTGAAAGTGCTTGTAGAAGCACGTGTCGTAATTGTTTTTAGTGTGGTTCTGAAAAGTGGAAGCTAGTGAAACCAGTTATTCAAATTACATGCCCAGAGTAGAACAAAATCGACCGATCGTACTTTTTCATGCAAATATTGCGAATGCGTGAATGAACTGGTAATATTTTGGTGAGAAAGTGTACAAATATGTATCCAGACCTTATTCATACAATTTTGGCCCATTTGTTAAGGTATGTAATTAGTAATTTACTATTTTGTAGGAAGATGTCTTTCGTACGCATACCAAAACACGTTTATTTAATGATTGTGGAGACAGCCATTGTTACATGACGTGCCGTATCACCTTAAGCTTTCAGATATTGAATGACGCTTCAGAATTTGCAATATTTTATTTACCTTTCTCTAACGATCGGGTTTGAACAAATAATGAATCACCAATTGTTGAGATATTAATAAATATACACGTCATTCGAGTTTCAATTCCGTTCAAACACATTGAAAAGCAACTGAATTCATTTCGGAAAACGAATGAAGGGAGAAAATATCGTTTCGTTAGTTTTATTAGTTTTCGAAAAGAATAGATGTAGGGTTTTTGATCTAATTTCCGCCTTACTAAGCACAAACCACGTTTTACCTTTCTTTGCTGAACGGTTTTTAACAAAAAAATTGAATAGACAGCTTAGATGACGTCTAAATTTATTCACCTTTTCATTCGTACCCTTGGATTTGATAAAGAGTCACACATTGTTGAGATATTGTTTAAAATCTAATACTGCTTCTTGATACAAAAGTCGTTCTACGAGTTTCAATTCCGTCCTAACGCATTGAAACGCCATTAGATTTTCTTCGTCCTACGGATAAACGTAGAAAAAGGGGATTTGCTAGGAGTGCTTCTTTTGTTTTGAGAACAATGAGCGTAAATATTCATACAACGCGCTCTAACAGGATTTATGTTGTAGCTAATGAACTAACGCATCGGAACAAACCTACACACTTAGAAAAAATCACCGAGTTCGGTAATTCATTTACCGAATTCTCAACAGCTGAACGGTCGGTAATGTTTTCAGTAATCGAGAACATTACCGAAAAATCTGTAAACTGGATCAGCAAAATTAGCTGTCAAATTTACCGAACGATCGGTAACGTTTACCGATGTGCATTGCTTGATTTGTAGTCGTCTTTACCGGAGAACTGTAATTTTGAGGACGATATGCAAATCCAAAATTACCGAGAGATCTGTATTTTTTTAAAACGGTAACCGACTCAACTGTAATTTGCTTTAATATTGTTTCAAGGTGGCGGTCACTGCAACCCATGCAAAAATTTGGCTGCTGTCGTGATCAATAAGTTAGTGTTGCAAATTGCACCACCAATGAACAAAACCAAGTTTTTGTCGGAAGGATTCGGCGCTACACGGAAAACAAGGAAGCTTTGGGAGAATATTCCAAATGCTGTTTTCAGATCGTCGCTAACGGGAATGAAACTTGGACTGACAGAAAGAACAAGCAACAACAGCAACAACAGCAACAACATCGGCCATCTGTAATCGGTATTTATTTAGATAACGAAAATTAATTATTTACGGAAAATATCTACGATTCACTCATTTTGATGTTGAATAACAGTCTCCATAATTTCACCTTTTTATTTTTCACAAGCAGGAACTCTTTTAAAGTCGATCGAAAATAACAATATGGTGGATTTGACGTTTACCTCGACCATTACCGAACTCAGTAATGTGGAACGCTTTGTTTACCGAAACTTCAGTAAAATATTTCACCGAAGTCAGTGATGTGATTTACATACCTGCCGGTAAAAATGTTTACCGTTTTCGGTAAATTAAAATGAAATTACCGAAATTCAGTCATTTCATTTACAGTTTTCAGCAATAAAGCGAGAAAATACCGAAACATCTGTAATTTTTAGCATTACCGATCTAAGACGGTAATTTTTTTACCGAACTCAGGGTCTCTGTTTAAGTGTGTATTATTTATTTGTGCACTGTGAAATCGTTGATATTATTGATCTTTTCTGGTCAATAGAACGGAAATTGGCGATTACGACGAAGTAGTGCTCTACCCTAAATATTCATATTATGTATTTTGCAGCTTGTGCACTGCACTATCGTACCGAACGTATGATTGATGCGTTCACGTCGAAATCATTAATATTTTTGATGATTCTGTTCGATATGACGGAAATGGGCTCTAATGTCGAAGTAGTTCTCTACCCTACAATATATTATTCAACATCAAATGTGAAACTGTGATCTCCAAAATTACCTAACACTAGGCATCTAGTTTGTTGAAAATTATGGACACTTATAGAATAAGTGGAAACAGCTCCGTTGATGCTATGCATCAACACTAGCCACTCATTCTCGGTGTATAGATGTGCTATTTTACATTATTTAATAATTACATCTGCCAAGTGCTGCATGTGCAAAACCATATCTGTTACAACAAAGGGACCACTGATAAGAGCTAGAAGGAAGCAAAACAAAAAACATAAAACTGCATGCTGTGCGCATCTTGTATTTGAATAGCGCATTCGAACTTCCTACTTCAGTTCTCATTGAACCGTGCCAAGTGCTTGTCACCCATCTGCTCCACTTTTGGTTTGAGAAATGTTTTGGCTGAGGTTGTTACATCAGTGTCTCTTCATTTTGTGTTTTTTTTTTACAAGTTAAACATTCACTCAACAGGTTACTTCTCCTGTCGCTGCTCGGAGGATCCTACGCAATCATCCACGATTGTAATCACTATCTGAACGCAGTCTACAACATCCGATACTGCTCTCTCACCAACGTCACCGTAACGCACGATGCCGAGGAGGTTGTTTTCCGATCCGAATATCCCAGGCCGTACTATTTCGAGTTTTCCGAATCGAAACTTACCGAAATTCCGCGAGTGATGTTCACCTCTTTTCCGGAAATGCAAAATCTGGACGTGACACGGTGCCAGGTGGAAAACGTCAACAAGTATACCTTCGAACAGGCTAAGGAATTGCGCTACTTGAACCTTTCCGGAAATCACTTGACGGTGTTGAACAATTTTGTGTTTAAAGGTTGTGATAAGTTGGTGCGATTGGATTTGTCCAATAATCGTATAGCGCAAGTGAAGGAAAAAGCGTTGCATGATATAGCGAAAATCGATCACGTAGACCTTTCCGGGAATTTGCTGGACAATTTGGACGAGAATCTTTTTTCCAGGCTCACCTTACTATCGTACCTTTCATTGGCCAACAACAGACTCACAGATCTGCACGATCGCCTTCTGGAAAACTGTACATTGATCGCCTATTTGGATATCCGAGGGAACCGCATTCACAGTTTGAGTGACACCTTTCTGAAAAGTTTGACTTACCTGAGAATATTGGTGGTAGATAATAACAAATTGACATCGTTGAAAATACCACCACAATTGACAAAGTTGTCTGCTTCCAAAAACAAAATCTCTGAAATTTTCGCTGAAGATCCAGCCAAGTCACAACTATACTCATTGAGTATTTCAAAAAACAATTTAAAAAATATCTATAATGTCACCATCCTAGAAACCATCACAATGCTGGATCTCTCATTCAATCCAATTGGACCTCTCAATATGACTGCATTCCTCCGGTTGAAAAAGTTGGTCGACCTTAACATGGAAGCAACGCAGCTGCAAAATTTGCAGCATGGGATTTTTACGCAGCAAACAAAGCTGCGTCGGCTGGACATATCGTACAATTTCCTTCAAAAATTGGATTTGACCATACTGACGTCGATATCCGGATTAGAAACACTGTTCATTGACGGAAACGGTCTCATCGACATCAACTACGAACACGTACCGGAGCTGTTTCCGAATCTCACCTACTTGGGACTATTCGCTAACGCTTGGAATTGCTCGTACTTGACGAGTTTGGTTCGATTCTGCAACCGGAATAAAATCGCTGTCAGTTCAACGAAGATCTACGGTGAAATGACCTATTTGACCAATGTGCAGGGAATTTACTGTGCTAGCTCGGATAAAGATCGGGTCCAATTTCTGCCAAGTACGGCAGTAAGCCATTTGGATGAGAATGTTGGACGCGAGGAAGATACTCAGCTGAACTTGATAGTGGCTAATGTGACATCGACGGAATTTGAATACAAGTTGATGGTAGAGCTGTTGGATATGATAAGGAATGTGAACATCAGTAATGCCAATCGCTTGGAGGAAGTGAGACGGATTGCGTTGGATTCGGATAGAGGCTGCGAATCGGTACATACGACCGGTTATCAGGTGTTCATCATGTTGATTATGACAGTGATTCTGGTGCTAAATGTCGGATTCCTACTGTATGTTCAGTACAATGCCAATGCACGGCGAGCAATGGATCGGATGATAATTTTCAAACGGGGGGAGACGGCGTCCATTCAAACTTCGATTGATGACTATTGAGCGTGGGGGGAAAGGATTGTTTCGTGTACGAAGAAAAAAAATGGTTGTAAATATATTCCTTCTTTGCTTTTAGTAAAACTCATTGTTCAATAAATTATTTCATATCAAAATCACAAAGCCACCCACTCAACCGTCGCATGAAAATGCACAGATAGAAACGTAAAGTACTACAGAAAAACATGAACCGGGGACGAATGGCTTTACTGGGGAACATAGAAAGAACCAAAAAAACATAGAATACTCAAAATTTTCATAAAATATGTCACCTTTGATATGTTGTGTAATAATGTTATTGACGTAGCCTCATTAGAATTCGAATTAGATATCGAAGTTTGAATAATTATTTTGTAATTGCTTTTAAAACTTTCTGAAGAATAAACAAATTTTACAAGTATAAAAAAACATATCCAGCCTGATCCGCCCCACAGACGAGACGGTTCCACGATGCCATTGCAGCCATTTGGTCCACCATCACACACACAGCACAAGTCCATCTGCCAGCCTTGTTCTAGATTAACATGAATATCCCCAACAAGGGAAGTCGAGAAAATTTCCAACCCGAAAAAATCCTTGACTGGCTTGGGAATGAACCCAACTTTTCTTTTCAACCATGTCAGAATAAACAAGGAATTTTTTTGAGCTTGACACACACTACTATTTCATAATATCTTCCATAGCTTCAAAGGTCAATTTTTGATTTTTAACTAATAAGGTGGTGTTAATTAACTACGCAGACAGTTTTTTGTGATTTTTGACCCCCCCCCCCCCCCTGCAAAGACAATTGTCCATACATTCTTTTTTTTAAATTTGTATGGACCGTGTATGATTGTCAACCCCCTCCCCATAAACTGTCAACGTAGTTTATGAACAGTCCCTAAGAAAAGTTCTTTACATCTGTACTTCGCACGTGAGGCTCAAACTTTTGTAGACTACTGTTTTACTTTTTTAAACTACTGCTACTATCAATCCAACATCAACATTGTGACTAAGATAAGTTTAACTGTTATGTACATATTATTTTTTTGAATGAAATAAAATCAAAGTTGTTCACACAAAATGATATGTTTCAGCTTGGTAATACCATAACGACTAGCCTATATGAAGCCCATAATGTCCTTAGCCTTACCGGGGCCCAATAAGCATCAAATCACTGTGGGTTACACACTACACAATTGAGATGAAATTTCACTTTGTAAAAGTTCAAAAAACTATTAAAAAGTTTTTCTCTCAACAAACTATTGCAAAATCCTGAAAAACAAAATGTACTTTAGCGCCCAAGAAGCTACACTTGATTAGAATAGCTTAGCTTACAAGCTCGTTGCTCATGATTGCAGTAATCACTTCATAAACTCGGTCCGTCATCGAATGTCTTGATCAGCAAAATCTCCAAGCAACAGCAGTATCTTCCAAGCAAAAACAAGCAAGCACCAGTAAAACAGACCGAAACAAGACGAGCAAAAAAAAAATCGTACTTATACCTAATTTAAAAACAGCCTCCGGTCCGATTTATATTATTATTCGTCGGATTAGTATCATAGGCAGATAAGGCCAACTCGGGATAGAACAGAAACGAGTCCGCCAGTGCTTCTGGTTGCTGTTTCTTTTCTCGCGCCTTTTTCCCCGAGGCGGCTTGATGGGCCAACGCGCGGCGAGCAAATCATGAGTATTGGCCACCTTACCTCCCCCCACCTACACCCGGTTTATGCCGCCACCGATCCACATCGCGGATTCAGATTGGCGATCGAGTGAACTTTTTGAATCATCAAAAAAAAAAACAAGTTGTAAAAAAGCTCTCCGCTCCTCACTGGAGCGGATGGAAATCGAACCGTAATCAAATTCTAAAATTTATGAATTCATATTTTGAATGTTTTATTTTTCCGGTACCATTTCCTGGTCGAAATTTGTTTGTGCAGCCAAAGAAGTGTAGGAGCAAAAAAAAAACGCATCGTCCAACTCAAATATAAATTATAAATCCGGAATCGAGGAAGAGCGGGAAAATCCTAGTATGAGAGCGCATATAAAAATATGAAATTAATGCATTCCTGCATGTAGGCAAGCGAAGGTAAACGTGCATATCTCTCCGGTGAGTGTGTGTTAGTGTGTGCGGCGCACGTGGTGTTGTGCACTAGTTTTTGGGTGGGTGGCAGGTGGCAAAGGCGAGATTTTCATTTCAGTTCAGTGGATTTGGGCCCCAGCGCTCTGATATGTCGTGACGCCGCCCGCCGTGCTGAGCTTTGCGTTGGTGTCTCGGTCAAACAAGGGGGGTGGCGGAAACGGAAGATACCCCGATTGGGTATGAAGTTATAAGCTAGGGAGCGGCTCACGGGGCGGGAAAGAGTCAGCGTAGAAAATATTTTTCAGTCATAATTCACCATCGATTCCGCCCCCGGAGGTAATATATTTTGAATAAATAATCTAAAATGTACAAATTTATCATGCACTATTTATTGGTGTGCATGAATGAACAAATACATGTTTACACCCACGCTTTGCATCCGGTTGCGCTGATCCCGGCTTGGCATGCACCGGAATTTCAGTTTGAATTTTTGACCGAAGCCACCCACCGGAATCCATTAAATCTAGGCGCGCAGTTCACCCGAAATCGGTCATCCAATCGAGCATGCAATGGGAACGGGAGGGCCTGTTACCAGCAACCAGCCCATCCATGTGATTTGTACCAAACGTCAAATCAAAAGCGGAAATGGGGTACGGTGATTGTAGGAGCTGGAGATGCAAGTGAATCTCTAAAACTATTTAAATTATGATATGATGAAATGGTGGTCGGATAGCGGAAAAAAGAACGTGGTGAAATATCCCATTTTGAGTGCCGTTTGCTGAAATGCTAGATTGAAATCAGTATGGCGATTTAGATCAATGGTGGTTTGGCGATACGGCAGGGGTGGATTCCCATCTATGTGGAATGCTTGTTCGCCTTCAGGCAAACGAGATTATTTCGAGAGATTTAATGAACATTGAACATTACCTTTTACTGCCAAATATGATGGCTTGTTGATGTGTGTGATGACAGAGCTTTTTTGTGAGTGAATGATTGGTTCCTGCGAAAGAACGTCATTGTTTTACAGGATGAGAGTTCAACGGCCGAAATTCTGGTTAACAAAGCCATGCTTGATCTTAACCGATGAGATACAAGGATTTATAAGATGGCTTTGATGTTCTTGAAAGAACTTTCGCGTACTCTCAACGTTGTGTTCTTTGGAGCATTTCAATAGCTATTAACTAGAGCTTTCTATGCCAACGCATTAAATTGCACAATGTGTGGCAAGTACAATGATACTCTGTGCCCAGGAAAGTCGAAAAAATTTCCAACCTGAAAGATTTACTAGACCGGACCGGGAGTCTTTCTCACCTCCTCTGGTTTGCTAATATTGTGCCAAAATCGACTATGGTATCGGAGGCCTCCAAAGGGTGTCCCAGATTGTAAAGAGTAAGGTAGGGCAAAAGTTCGTTTTGTACACTCTTCCGAAAAAATCTTTCTTGCTACAAATGGACTGCAAACTCAGCAAGGTTCTGTAAGAGAAAGATGTAATCCTTAAGGGGGACATCAGTTGGTGGTTTTCAAAAAATCGAAATGTAAATTTTTGCTTTTTAGGCATCCTTCTAGAATCATGTGTCAAAATGCCAATTCGATACACAAAGTCGTTACGACTGAGATAGTCTTGTATTAAACGCACTTAAATATAATTCGAATCTTTAAACGCGCTTTTCTCGAGTTACCTCGAGCAATGTTAGGAAAATATCTCAATATCAAATCTCACCAAAGATCAAAATGACGCTTGATTTCAGTAGACAAAACTCAACAAGCAAACAACTGTGGTTGATACTGCAAGCTGTGATATCGCAGCTCTGAATATCAAGCTAACAAAATTCACCAGCTGCAAAGCTCATTAAACTGTGGAGAAATTGAATTTCATTATTTTTCCTTTACACCCGAACGCATCCGAATCTACCACAATGATTGGCAACAGTTGCTTCGTGTCTGCCATTGCCGAAGAGAAAACAGAGATAGCATTATTTAACTTTCTCTTTCTAAGAAAATGAGGTTCAACGGAATCATTTTTTTTTCCGTCGATTCAACTTTCAGCTTCAAAATTTTCATGTTTTGAATAGTCTCGCAATATCAAACGAGCTTGTAAAATCAATATCGAGTATAATATTTTGCTCCAATATCACGCGTATTGAGAGCGTATGAGAGCGGAAAATATCAATTTATTAATGATTATGCCAACATTTCTTGCGAGACAGGGATCTTGGAGACTAATGGATCTATTTTGGTGATTCTTCTGTTCGCAATGTAGCAATGATTTATCTTAAATCTTACTTAGGATTTTTCGGATATTACAACTTTTACATTTTCAACGCGCATTTAAGTAGCGATTTTGACGTAGGACTACGTCTGTGATTTCTATATGGGGGTACACTTTCTGAAAACCAAAAATGGAACATGTAACGAAATTATGAAAGATTTTGAACTTTAATAACTAAGCTGCCCCTGGACCAATTTCAATAATTTTATCACCAATCTATCAGACATATTTCTACGCATCGTTAAAAATGCTATCGACTATTTATTTTCAACAAGAAACTATTGAAAAGTGATAAATGTCATGAATTGTCCAAATGTGTCGGAATGACTGAAAAATCCACCAATTACGTACATGTATATGCTGCTTCCCCAACACTGTCATTAGAGAATCGTTTCTAGACGAAACATGCAAATGTAGCATTGCTGCTTCCCCAACACTGTCATCAAAGTGTCCTTAGTAGACGAAACAAGTCGAAGTGACATTCGTCTCTGATCTTCGGGCGTGTGCGAATAGGGAGGATGCAATTGCGAAACATTTTGCACACTCATCGCCATATTCAGAACCACACGCCCCAACCAAACACAAAATGCTCTCGAGAGTTGTAATCTTGTAACCAAACTTGGAAGCAGGGGTGCAAGTGATTTTGATCGATTCTCTTCATCGACTTTCTGTTTCGTTAATAACACGACGGTA